GCAACCATGTATAAATATTAGTGCGCATGCCCAACTTTTTTTTCATGTTTTCGCCTATTTTTGCTTTGGCACCACAGCGCCACTTACAGGCCTGGCATACATTTTGCGTTTTCATGCATTCGTGTGGACGATCACATTTATTTTACGTCTCCGTCTTTACGACAAACGTTCTGGAAAATATTAGCGTTTCGTGTTCGTTTTGACTTCGTGTGGACAGGGCCTTAGTGGTCGGGAAATGTTTCCGGTCAGTGCACAAGAAGGAAAAGATCAGGCAGGAGTCAGAAGAGTCAGGCAAACAGATCAGACAGGGACAGGTAGGCTCATAGGCCCAGAAGCAGAACAGGTTAGGATCAGGTAGTCAGAACACAGGATCGCTAGAATAATTCTCACTAACGGCCCTAAATAACCTAGCACTGATGACTGGTTTGAAGGCTGGTTATTTAGAGATTAACGCAGGTAGATCAGAGGAGCAGGTAATGAGAACTGGGCGCAGCTAAGCATGTGTGTGAATTGAGTTGTCAGACCAGACATCACTGCCAAGATCATGGGCAGTGGTGGCCTAGTGGTTGGGACATTACGCTTGGAATCCAGAGGTTCTGAGCTCAAGCCCCACTCACACAGAATGCCACTCTTGGTCCCTGAGCAAAGACCCTAAACGCCACACTACTCCCCGGGCACTGCACAATGGAAGCCCACTGCTCCCCAAGTGGATGGGTTAAATGTAGAGAGTTAATTTCATTGCTCTGAACTTGTGACAGTGTAATGACAATAACAGCTGGACATTTTTTTATATATATTTTTTGAAGAACAAAAGTCATCACAATGACAGCTACTGTATGACAGCAATAACTTTACCCTAAATAAATGTAAACTCATGCATACAATGGTAGGAAATTTTTACTTTTGTTGCAATTAGTTGTACATGTCCAATTATAAGGAAGTTGAAATTCTGTGGTAAAAGTAAAGGGGATTATCAATCAGCCCCATCTAATCCACTATGTTTACAGATTTAAATCGTGCTATCATATTTCCAATTAGTGTTTGCACTGAAAAGATATGAAAGATATGAAACACTAGTCCGTTAGTTAGTAAGAAGGTCAATAAAAAGCAAATTCATTTAGTGTTTCTGTATAAAATGCAAAATAAACTTTTTACCATTCTATCCATAATGTGTGTTATGGCTGTGTTTTAATTTAGCATGTGATTTGATGATGGTAAACATAGCGAATGATGTGTGAAAAGACAGTGATCTGTCTACACTTCTTAACAAATTTGTCAACATGCCTGTGATGCTGCCATTATACATCTGCATTTATTTATTTTAACAAAATATTACCGATACTGTCACATTCACACATCTATTTGGTGATAACTGTAGGTAGAATTACTGCTGAACACTCAATTATGAACATTAGAAGCCATTTTTAAAGGCAATTTAAATGTGTCTCCTGCCTGAAATTGTTTGAATAACCTGACTTACATTCCAGCTTTTGATTTGTGACAACTGTAATGGAGTTGCTCCCTTGGCATCAGTAGATCACGTTCATTTGCTTGTGAGAACTCACAGTCGTGATCGAGATTAAAATTCTGCAATCTGATTCTGCAAGCCTAATTTGAGTTCACGCTTTTTTTATTTCTGGATCTCTGCCATGTTGTCATTACTTCCTTATTTCACACAGCAATGAAGAAACATTTTTTCATTTGCTAAGGTTAATACAGTGAAAACCATAACCACAAAGCAGTTGTGAGTTTTTTTTTTCTACTATAATTGTATTTGTCTCTCTCAACTCCATACACATTGTGTTTCAATACACATATAATTATTCATAAGTAAAAGCTTCAGACAAATGCTTTGTTTTAACTTTATGTCTATTGAGCATTATAGTATTTTAATGTTTCAGATGGCATTATTGATTCTCGTCGTGGCTCGCAAACCTACTCAGAGTGTGACTCTGTGTCTCTGATTCTTCTTTCTTGCTCTGCAGATAAAAGACAAAAAGTAGAAGCAAACCACCAGAAGAGGAGAGAAAAGAACAGAGCATGGCTGAGAGGATGATTGCATCTGAAAGTGGTAAGCAGGCAACATTTACAGCCTCTTAGCTGACTTGTTTAGGAACTATGGGACGTCAGATAAAGGCCAGCACTCAAGCTATTTCTATTCTTTTCAGCTATCTAGTTTTCCGTTTCTATTTGGCATCTTTATATTCTCATATACGTTTGCATTTTAATGAAAAGAGATAAACAGAATAATGTGCAGTGCTAAAAAGTATTCAGTACTAAGCCATTCAGCAGGAAAACAGTTTTGAGAAAATGTTTTGTTTAATTTTATATGATAGACCAACAGAAAGTAAGCAAGAATGCATCATTAAAAATCAGAAAATGGCACCCTAACCAGCCATCTTAGCCAGTGTTGTAGTTCCAGCTGCAGCTACATTTTTGGGGAGTATGTCTCTATTAGTTTTATGATTCAAAACATGGACTTCTTTGCCCATTTCTCTTTGTACAAATAACACAAGCTCAGTCATCTTGGATGGATTAGATCTTTTAATGCTTTCTTCCAAGCCTTGACACATGTAGATTTAATGACCAGGCTATTCTTTATTTCTGATTAATGTTTACCTATGCCCTTCTTGTCAATGGGGCTTGAAGCCATTTCTTAGTTTGTCTGCAGTTGCACTTTTTTTCATTTGTACAGAATAGATTTGATGAACTAATCCATGCTTTTTTTTTTTTTTTTTTTTTACCAATTGTAAGTCCTTCGAGCTTAGCTAATCCTGACATCATGTAGCGGCTGTTAGAGCTGTTACATGAGGGGGGTTATCACTCTGCTTTTCACGAGTACACTTTGGATTTTCTTATTTTTGCAGAAAGAAATAGCTAAAGCACTTTATACTGTAACTACCTAGCTTTTGGGTTTGTGATCAATTCACCAATAGCCCATATGGCTTTATGGCTTTATGAATGTCAGGTTGTGTGGACGTTTTAGAGGACCCAAATGCAGAGATGGAAACCAAGTGGTTTCTTGCAGATGTGATTATTCAAATAGTGTCAGAAGCAAAAGTCTACAAACAAAACACTGAACACCAAAATCCAGGTTAAATCAGTGAAAACACACATGAGAGCAAAGAAAAGATGATGAACCATCAAACAGCAACTCAAGAGGAGGAGTATAAATTGGAGGCTAAACAAAGACAAGACTAATCAGTAGACTGGGAGCCGGTGCGAACAGAAGAATCTGGAAGAGAGCTAGAGGGAGGAGACTGTCACAAAAGGCCAACAGAGGGCAAACAAGAAATACATTAGAACTCAAATACAACCAAAGACAACTAGAATAACACAAAATGGAAATACAGTAAAACCAATGAAAACTGAAAAAGAAAACTTAAACCAAACCAAAACCACGACACTGAGAACTTAAATTAGGCCTTCCCTTGGTTCAAATTGGCTGATTTCCCTTAGCTTCATAAGAATATTAAGTAAGGTCTCCCAAAACTAACAAGTTAAACTCAGTTTTTTTGCACTTTCTTTATTTTCCTACTTATTGTTATATGTTGTTTGGGATCCATTGAAGATATGCAGAGAACACAGTGCTATATTCTGTACAAACAATAAAGATGAGCAGTTTATAAGTGCATTTTATTAAAGAGCATCCACATATGTAACACACACATAAACAAAATGACACATAAGGCGTCCTGATTTATTTTTTTATTTGTTTGTCTGTAGAATCCTGATAATTAATTAAGTGATCATTAAAAAATAAGTGAGTGTGGTGGTGACAAAAACTGAGCTATGTACCTTGGTCCTTGACGCACACATCCATGGTTTGAATCCGATGCCTTTAATGGGTATCTATCCCTCTTTCTTCGCCTCCTGTCAGTCAGCTTTCAAATAAAGATCACTTTGCCACAAAAACCTGTGTCAACACATGATGTTAGTAATGGGATACCCAAAATGATGAACCAGTTATTCCCTTAAAACAGCCATCATTGGGACCATTGCTGCATATCACGGCCCCTTCTCTTTTGCCCTCATTTATTTTCTGATGCTAAACACCTCTTGGGCAAAAAAAAATTAAATAAAAATCTTTAAAGAAATAAGGTGCATGAGTAAACCAGAACACTGCGAGATTTTCTGTGCCTCAAGTTTATTGTTTCGGAGAAAGGTTTCTCCCTGACCTGTCTGATGGGTTCCTTGGTTTTTCGTGCTGCTGGTTGTTCTCTAATGTTCTCTCATAATCGCTGATGTTGAAAAATGAACCGGCTGTATACAATAAATTGACCAAATATGGTTTCAATGACCAATTATCTGAAATCTTAAGGGATCTAGAGGGGCTGGATATGTCATATGGGAGCTTAGTAAATGCACATTTGAGTTTTATATGTGAAAATGAATATTACAATAGTTATCTTATTGTTTTCCTCTTATTTAACTAAAATCCTATCATCCTATTGAAAACAGTGAAGCCTTTCACCACAAAACAGGTTTAAAATGGAATACAACCAAACTTTCACTCAGGTTTTTGCGACAACTAACAAGGAGTTGTTGTCATCGTGTTGACTCGCACTAGAATTGATTGTTGTGATTGCCATGACCTTGATAACTTAGAATTACATGGACATATAGAAGCTTGAGGCTGTAAGATGAAAAAATGTAAAAACAGTTTCAGATAAATCATTTTATCAGGTTAACTATCTATAAATTCAGAGTTTAATTTTAGATATGGTTTGGCTTCTTATTGTACAAGAGTTTGATCCAGCAACTAAGTTCTGATGAGCATCCCCTTTAAAAAAGACATCCAACCTGAACAGCTCTGGGGATATCATGGTTCTCTAATTGTGGTTCTGTGTTAGAGCAAAGGGTTTATTTGATTATAGAAGCAAATAAACCTCAAATTAAATATCTACAGTACTTTGGACCATATTGACTTTAAATTTGTTTCCTGTCGATTTAAATTAATACCTTTTCTGTGACCCACACAGGCTATTTACACCTTGATGCACCCAAAAGGTGACTATTCTGTGCACAGTGCTTATATCGGTTAAAATGATTTTGCAACTTTATTATTGTTATAATCTAAATTCCGAGAAAATATGTGCTCAAGTAAAGTCATATCAGTGAAATGTCAAGTTTCTTCTGAACACCAATTAATCTCGAAAGTTCTGCTACCCAATGGAGTTTGGGATATGCTCAGTTAGCTCTCAGTGGATCTCACCTTACAACATTATTTGCATTGAGGCGTAGCTCTGCCTGCACTTTGGGTGACAGGGCTTTACTGTGAAAGAGCTACATCTTCAGCTTAATGCCACTCTTACAAAAGTTTTTGTGAGCTTTTATGTTTTTTTTTTCATATCAAGAAAGAAAGCTTTGCAGGCATCAAACAGCCATCTCACTGTCCATCATTAGGTCAGGGTGACATGGCAGGATGCTTCTCTGCCATTTAGAATTTTAGTTTGAAGCTTGCTCTCTATTGTTTCAGTTTAGTTATGGCTTTAATTCACTTTCTCTTATCATTTGTTTTCAAAGCAGATAATTAAATATCATCCTACTAAACATTGTACAGCAATTAAGACCTCTATGATTATGATATGACTTTTTGGATCTCAGATTTACCTGAGTGACCCCGGATCCATTGATCTGCTGAAGCATCATCAGCTTTATGTTCTCCGTATCACAGCAGCAGTGTTGTGTCAGATTTCTTCGCATGCTGTGGAATATGTTACTGTTGAACTTTTAATTACAGTTACAGATTAACTTTAGTACAAGGCAGTGCATCCAACAAGGAAAACATTTTGAAACATCAGGAAATGTAGCAGCATTAAAAAATCATAAAGAACTGATTCTGGTCCCATAGTCACACAGAAAGGTACTTTTAAATTATCAATGAGTCCATGAACTCCCCACAGCTTCTAAAGAAAGCACCTAGGCTTCATAAATAATTCACAGTCATATATTTCAGATACTGTGTATTTCTTCCTTGAATTCTGTTGCAAATGTCCTTCAATCTGTATCCATACATTGTTGCATGGTTTTATATTACAATCAATTCATAACCTTCAGGTTAAACGAGTTTGAGGGACACTTGAATCCGCCATCATATATTGTGCATTTAAAGCATTCTAAAGAAATTAAAAATATTTAGGACTTTTAGGGTTATTCTTTGAAACATTTTGGAAACATGTTTTTGTTTTATTTAAAGCAAGTTTGAGGCCTATAATATTACAGCATGAGGTCACCAGTTATTTTGAGTTTGCTTTACCCCTTGAATCCAAGTCTGATCTGGTTCCTCATTAATGCTTTCTTAGTGTTCACTGAAATATCAAGTGATAAGTTAGTTTGAGGAAGGAAGTCAGGACAGAACATTCAGAAATTGACACCAATATGGCTGTGGCAAAGGTGGTTACAAACTGAGTATGCTAAGCCTTCGTCTTCATGAATGAGTAATGTAATTTGTTTGAGTGGATTTTTTCTTGACCAACTATGAGTTAGTCTAAACTCTTTAGTTCATTACTGCTTCACAGAATAATGTCATAATTGAGGGTCAGCACGCTCTGCTTCTAATGGGTATGCAGGTGTGTGATACTGAAATATCATCAAAACAGCATTCATTTTGTTTATTTACTGTAATATAAACAAATATATTAAATATATAATATAACATATAAACATAATATATAACTTCTCTGAAAAATATTTCCTCACACAAGACCCATTGAATTATTTTTTGTTTTTTCATTTAGATATGTTAATTTATGATCATGCTATGGGTTGCACCTACAAGTATTTTTTTTTAATTTTTTTCCCAACAGGCATCACTTACATTCTCCAAAGAAGGGTAACCCATAAAAGGCTTCTTCTAAAGACCTTGGGTCTTCAGAATGGTATACCCAAGCATATTAAAAGATAATTTAGAGGAAGGAAAATGAGTGGTAGAAAATAATGCATTATCTGTAGATACAATATACACATTTGGACATAATTGTTGCTACCCCCTTACACATGAAATAAAACCCTGCAATGGTCACAGAGATAACTTGAAGCAGAGAAAAGTAATGATAAAAAATAAATTTT